GGCGCTTTGGCTCAAGTGGTTGGGCGCTAGCCTTGAGCTGAAGAGCTGAGGGACAGCGCCCAGGCCCAGAGTTCAAGCCCCACGACCGACCAAAAAAAAAAAAAGGGAGGAGGAGGAGGAAGGGCCAACTCTGGGGAGCTGGGAGGGATCCTGGGGGCGGGGTGGTGGTGGTGGAAGGGGCGTGGTCTGTGTGGGGACGGGGCTAGAGGAATAGGAACACACGGCTTAAAGTGGGGAGTTGTCTAGGGTGGAAAATGGGAGGCAATGAAGGAAGTCAGGGTCTAGTTTTGGAGGAAAGGAGGATTAAGGGACATAGGTTGAGGACATTCTACATTTTAAATTTAGGTAAGAGGAGGACTTAGGGTGGACAGGCGATGAGGCTTGAAGCAGGAACCTAGAATCTGGAAAAGTCTAGAGGGCTTGGACTGGGAAGAGGTGGGGTTTGTTGGGAGAGGAGGGATGGATGGGGGTGGCCTTGTGAGTGTCTAGGCTGCAGGAATGAGCAGAGATGGACTGTGTGCCAGGAGAGCAAGGAGGTAAACTGAGTCCTTGTGTGTGATCCTTTAGCTCTGGGCTAAAACTGGTTCCCAAACTGGTGTACCTTCTGGTCCTCTGGGACCCCCAGATGCCTCTGCCAGCTCCAATTGAAGCAGATGGCTGCCCTCAAGGATTTGTATTAATCACAAGCTACCTTGGGAGATGAGGGTAAACAATATGGGAGACCCACTGACCAAAAACAGAGACTAATGGGAGGTACAGCTCCTTAATCCTAACATAGCAGGTAATTTTCTCCAAGATCTAATCTAATCTCCTAGGTAGGCCTGCTTTATCTTTCTAACCTGGGTTAGAAAGCCCAAAGAACAGACCAGAAGGAACCAACATGTCAGAAAAGGGATCCCAAGTCCCTGCCAGCACCACTCCCTAACCCCCTCCCCCCTGCCGCTTCCCCACATACTGGTCAGCACAAGGCTCTGGTGGTAGCAGCTTGTCCTCATCTTCTTTGTTAAACAGAGATGACATTGTCAGCCAACCTTTTACCCCAACTCCCTGAACCTAGGAGGGAGGAACTGGGAGTTAGGGGAGACCCCAGCATAGCCTCATGGGGGCTCCATGTCAGCTGTCAGGCTCCCTGGGGTTGGGGTGGACAAAGGAATAAGAACTCACCCTGCGTGCCAGCTGTGACATGGGGTTGAAGGCCTCCTCAGTGGGTTCTGCAGTCTCAGACTCCACTAACGCAGGGCTCTCCCTCTGAGACACAAGACCCCACCCAACATGAGAGAAGCCCCAGAGAAGTGGGGCCTCCCTCCTCTGCTGTTTGCCTGGTACATATAGACAAGGTGCCCCAAACCCCACAGAACTAACACACACACACCTACACTTTACACCTCTACAAGGTAGACAAGGTGCCCCAAACCCCACAGAACTAAACACACACCTACACTTTACACCTCCACAAGGGCACATGAGAATATGTACAGGTATACACTGGACACACATACACTTATATAATAAATCTCTGCAGACATCCCTAAGCACACAAACCTGCCCACTTTCATACTTAAAATACATAGACAAGGTCGGACACCAGTGGCTCACACCTATAATCCTTGCTACTCAGGAGGCTGAGATCTGAGGATCATCACAGTCCAAAGCCAGCCTGGGCAGGAAAATCCGTGACACTCTTATCTCCAATTAACCACCACAAAACCAGAAGTAGAGCTGTGGCTCAAGTGGTAGACTGTTTGCCATGAGCTGAAGAGCTGAGGGACAGTGCCCAGGCCCAGAGTTCAAGCTCCACGACTGACCAAAAAGACAGAGAGAGACAGAGAGAGAGAGACAGAGAGAGAGAGAAAGGGACAAGAGCATGCATACATTGCATACACACACACACACACACACACACACACCTATACCTGAGCATACTTCTATATGGTATATAGATGTGCTACAAAGTACCTCTACACTCAACTCAGGCAGTTAGGCCATTCATTTTTGTGCAGGTATACAACCTCACCCATCAGATACAAAACCTCTCACATAGCCACAGACACCCACACACCACACCAACACAATACCTGCAGATGCCTGTACTCAGGCATGCAAGCATAGAAACATAGACACACTGGGTAACATCTAGGTCCAGTTCACAGCTTCACGTATGCCTTCACAGGGGATTTGCACAGAACTCAATCCCAGCACTTTTTCACATAAGAATATTTCAGATAAGCCCAGCTTTGCCCACCAACTCATTGCTACCCATCTATGCTCCCCCCTCTCCCTGCCCCTGTCACATCTATTTGTGTGACTGACACTTATATCTCAGTCTCTGAACATAAAATGGTTCCCAGTCTCAAGGATGTAATGATGTGTGTGTGTGTGTGTGTGTGTGTGTGTGTGTGTGTGTGTGTGTAGACACAGGGCTTGAATTCAGGGCCTGGGCACTGTCTCTGAGCTCTTTTGCTCAAGGTTGGCATTACACCACTTAAGCCACAGCTTTACTTGAGGCATTTTTGTGGTTAACTGAAGATAAGTCTCATGGACTTTTTCTGCCCAGGGTTGCTTTGAACCCATGATCCTCAGGTCCCAGTTTGAATAGCTAGGATTACAGACATGAGCCACAAGTGCCTGGCTGCTTTATAAATTTTTTTCTAAGCAAGACTCATGTCTGTAATCCTAGTTACTCAGGAGGCTAAGTTCTGAGGATCAGGGTTAACCACCACCACAAAAAAAAAAAGCCATAAATGGAACTGTGGCTCAAGTGATAATGCCAGTCTTGAGCAAAAAAGCTCACAGTCAGCACCTAAGCCAAGTTCAAGCCCCAGGAAACACACACACACACACACACACACACTCCATAATAAAACAGAGGCTGCTCCAGTAACCCATAAAGTATAAACGTCATTTCTCATTTCTTTTAGGAAATGGGGGCTCAGTACATCTCCAGACAAGACATGCTCAGCTCTGCCCTTTAGAAAGCTCTGTTATACTAACTCTGCCCATTTGACTACTGCCCACTGCTCCCAGAAGAATCTTCTCCATGAGGCAGTTCTTGAGATTATGGAGACAGTGCGTACATCTCCCATGGCCCCACGTCTTCTGTTCTTCAGTTTTCTAGAATTTTTTGGATCCCAAACACTGAGCCATGCTGACTGCCTTTCCTGAATGTGCCCCAGGCTCTTGTCCATCCTCCATCTCTTTTTGTTCCTCTCACTCATGCTGTCCCTCTTCTTTGGCACACCCAGGAAGCATGGAGGGTACCCACCTCTTCTGCCAGCTCTTCCTCAGATTCCCCACTCAGGGTCTGTAGCACTTTGGATTTGTAGGTTTTCCAGAAGGCCTGGTTCATGGCTTCAGGGGAAAGGAGCTTGGTACCCAGGCCTTCCCTTCTGTGGTTCAGTGAGGATCTAGTGGATCTGTCTTCAGGAACTTGGTAGAGCCAAGAGCCTGTCCCAGGGATTGGGTGACTGACTTCATTAAAGATGCAATAACCTCTCTAGCTGGCACAGAGCCCAGAAGGTGAACCTGATCCAAAGGCGTCTGAGGTAGGGGCAATTTTCTGCCACTTCCACCCTTGTCTTGACCCATATTGGCCAAGAAAAATGAAGAAATCTCTATGTTGAGGCAAAATACTTAAGATTGTCTATCTCTTAAAATGTTCTAGAAAAGGCCTCTTCCATTTGTAAAAACCCTTGGGTCTGGAGCCTCCTGTGACTGTAACCATACCAGCTATGCCTGCAACCCAGCCC